AGTAGTGTAAATACTGTGAAGCAGAAATATACCAATTCCATGGCAATTTGAGATTGAAGGACATGGCTTTTTAAGCAACTGTTGAGCATTTTTTTGCCCTATTAACTTATTAAAGTTGTCCGAAAGATAATTAGGATTGTAATGTTTTCCATCATAATTTGAAGTAATTTACTTTTACTTAAGACATTCTGACTCACTGCTGACAACAAATTTTGACAATCTATCTAACTATGCATTGAATACGTTGAGCTGTCACACTCGCTTCTTAATTATCAAACTCTGTAATATTCGGTTTGACAAATTTCGCTGAACATGATGCTACCGTTTGGCGTCGCACACAATAGAAACGTATGTATTAAGTAAATTCACCGCAAATAAAACCCTCGAGGATAGTGAGTAAATTCCTGGGCGGAAAGAGAAACAGACAGTTAAAAAGTAGTCATGGTACTCATAGGGTACTTTGATTATGCAGAAATGGTTTTGTCAGACCAAATCACTATATTTTAATGGGCTCAAGTCCTATACATTTGGGGTTCAGTTGATGGAGATTTGATGGCAGTTTGAGGAAGTCCAATGAATGTATGAAGCTACCACTGCCTCCAACTCCACCGGTTTCAACAGGAGTACAAAATGCAATTCTATATTCATCATTTACCTTTGATCGTACAACAAGACTTTGAGGGAATAAGCATGATATTTATTATAAGATTTGATACCTGTTTTTAATTTTGAAGAAAGTGAAAGTGGTCAAATTTGTCTGATGTTGGGATTTCGTTCTAACTACTGAAAAGAAACTCATGCAGTCAGAAGCTAGACATAGGTATCTATGTGAATGTGTGGACTTCAGTTTTAATGTTTTTTCCATGTCTTTGTTCTTTCTGTGCGTCAAGTCAGTCACCATTGGTTATCAGCAATGTCTCTCATTGTTTGCATTAACCTGTATCCAGCTCTAATTTATGGCACTTTAAATGTAGAATTTACTACTTTCCAGGAATTTGTAAACACTTCTTTCATATCAGAGCTCACGAGTGATTTAAATTCAAAGAAGTCAATGGAGAGAACTATTTTCAATCGAGACACCTGATGACTGAAGTTAGCTTACCAGGATACACACTACTTTTATAGACGTGGATATTAGTTTAAACACTTTCAGAATATAAACTTTTCACTTAAAAGTTTCAACAACCATTCACTGGATTTTATGAAAATGAGAGGGGAATTAACAAGAGTGGGGAGGGGTGGGGTGGGGTGAGCCATCATCAGTCTATTATGAACCGATTAAATGCTGTACTTAATACACATCGGCCTATTAAAAAACTGCGAAATTGGCGTCGCGTGCTTTGAAGTCGTTCTCCATGATCGAACTCTTCCTCTCTCCCTCCCTCTTGGTTAACCAATTGCCGGATGTTTTAATTCGATTTGACTCTTCTTTTAACAGTGGGGAGCCATTTTTTATGAGACCGTGTCTACTAGCCAGTTAAGTAATCTCTGTTGCTTGAAGATGAAATTTACAAATCGAAGTGAAGTAGAATTACCTTATTCTCTTCCATGTTTAAGGAAATTCATTATTTATTAGGTTTTAATTCATCGATTTCAACTCCATTTCACTTGTGCATAGGTTGGATGTTTCGAAAAATAAAAGACAGTTTAATAGCCCCCTTTGGGAATAATTAGCTATCCACCCAACTTTTACTTGAGGACTCGAGGGAAGGTGAAACGCTGACACAGTTTTCCAGAGTCACTAAAATATGTCGGCTTCCCTTTCACCAGTGGAATGTTTGCTGGTTTATTACTTTATATGCCCACTGGGACCATCATCTCCAATGCTGCTTACCTCCCGGAAACTCTCTGAATAACATCAAGTCCAAGAAGTGGACTTTTTCTTGCATTCTTGTTATTTTTTTTATCCACTTCAATGCACAAAGTGGCTCTTTGTGACGTGCCCATTTATCTGATATTGGGGAGATATAGGAACTTGAAGCAGGGTAGTTTGTGCTTAGTAGAAGTAGTAGGGAGGGGGTGAGGGTGGGGGGAGAGGGGGGGTTAGAGGCTTTGATCTATCATTTTGACCGCATTTGCTCCACTGGAGTACCCAAATCATTAATCATTTTGAGGTTTTACCTCCTTCACTTGCACAAAGCTATTGTTAATCTGTTTCCGGCTGTATCTACAAGGAACAGCAAGTACTCCTTTATAGACTGTACACCTGATTTGTGCACTGTTTTCGCATTGAAATGGGTAAATTATTTTCGGTCCAGTTAACCATCCTTTGGGAGATTCAATCGGTTTGTGAGCCCTCTTTGGGAATCCGTCTTTATATTTCAATTTCGGTTTGATAAGAATGAGTAAGCCTTCCCCGTTAAAATACTTGGAATGGTTAGTTTTGTTTTGGCATTCTTATTGAACCACTCTAATCTAAAAGAATATTTTACACTTTTGCCGCTTAAAGTAACTTTCCCATTTGTACTTAATCTTACAAAATTCGTTCCAACTGTTGTAGCACCGAGTTTCATATCTTTTGTTAATGTTCCAATTTTTTTGCTCTATTTTCAAATAATTATTTTCAATAGAAACCCAAATTTGTGTGTGTGCCTGTGCGACTATCTTAGCATACTTACACAATGGTGCTTGGGAAATAAATTCTTATTTTAGAAATTCACAATTAAATTAAATTTAAGCTTTTCATAAACGTAGCACAAGAAGCACAATCACACACCTTTTGGTTTGATTTGAAAATCGAATTCGCATGCAAACCACTAGGAATGCAACTGTAGTGACTATAGAGCTCTACGTTTAGGACAACAGCTATTGGCGGTCTTTTCATCCACATGACGACGTATTTTCATCATGATTAGTCATCATCTTGACTGACAGGTTCCAACCTCCATAATGCGACAACAAATCGATAGGCTCTTGGATAAATGCAAATCTAGGTAATTTTTTAGGAAGTCACTTTTCGTTCACTCTGTAAATCTTGACTGCAAATATTCCAAGTGAATCCAGCATAATCGAGAAATCACTTATACTCTCCCTCTCTCCTTCTACATTTACCTTTAAGTATCAAGCGTCACTTCGAATTTGTGCCTTATTGAATTCCTTATCGTTAGGAGGATGCGAGGGGTTGATTTTGCGCCACCAGCCACAGGAATTTGACAGGTCTTCTGGTGGTCTGCTTTGCTAAGTCTTCCTTTTGGCTATACTTAAAACAGGGTATGTGGTAGAAGTGAGATTCTTTGTGGTTAAATGCAATAATCATTTACATTTCATAGAAATGTCTAACCATTACAACTTGCTCCTGACAGCTATGGGGGAATTATTAACTCTAAAGTGTCTGCACTACACAAACTATAAATTTAAGCGATTTTAAAAAATTTCATCCAATTCTTTGTCTCAGAACATGACAGTTAAAAATTTCCTCATAAAGACCACTATGAGTAGTCAATTTCTGCGGCCTTTAATAATTAAGCATTTGTCATAGCGTATAGCTCCTTGTCAGCATTCATTTTTAATTCCATTTCTTTCCAGATGGGCCAACTGCCTTGAACACCAATCTTAACGATTAATTGACTATTCACGACACTGGCCTCAATGTTGCCTCAACTGTTAATAACCTTGCTTCAATTGTTATTTTATATATTGGTCTAAAGAAATGGACTTCATTATGTTCTATTAACTTAAAATGATTCCATTTTAAGCTTTTTATGGACCGTTTTTTGACCATAAATTTTGGCATATTTTATGGAAATTAAGCTAAATCCATTTGTTGTGATTTTTTAGCATTTAATAAAAAAATGGGCTAAAATGGCATTTCGAAAGTGCCTTCAGCTGGGAACTGGTAAATGGTAATTAAATTACGCACGACGGTGCTCCATCTTTTTACTCCTGTGAGATTTCTTTTGTTTTGGAATGGGCAAGTAATTTGGAATTTAGTCCATAGAATTTTTAATTAAGTCTCAGTGAAAATAAGTCCACTTTAATTCCCTCCATATGTGTTCATTCTTAATTTGTGAATTGAAATTTGTTTGAAGTCACATAAAAGCTCTCTCTCTCGCGCTCCCCACCCCCTTTCTCTCCCTCTCTCTCCCCCCCTTCTGCAGCAAATTCATTCGAAGTGTTATTTTTTCCAACTCCGGACCATCTAACTGTTACCTTTGTATCAATAGGTTCTAGGCAGCATCTGGTCGGTATTTTAAATTGGCCAGGAAGGAAGGAATTCATATACGTATATCCCTCTATCCGCGCCTTCTCTTCGAATAGCAGAAATTCCAAGTGGATCACAAAAATCAAACATCATTGAATTAAAATTAATAAGAGCTCAACTTCTTGGGAAATTGAAATGTTGGTCTCTTGGAAAGAGTAGCCCTGTCTAACTTTTTACTCGTCCAAAAGCTCTACGAGCGTCATGGACACAAGATAGAACAATGAAAATAACGCTGACAGGTTGTGTTTATTAGTTCAGAGTAGAGTAGGCTTGTAACCATCACAGCAACTGGAAGATAAATCTTGCGAGGGAAGGAGGGGTTTAGATCAATTAAGCGCCCTAGTCAACGATTGGGTAGATGCCTTCCAGATCGAATGATTTGTTTTAGTTCATTCAGAATTTCACCTTATCTATCTTGGAAATATATTTTTTCCAAAACATTGTATTTCTAGGGCTCAAATTATTTTTGCTAACGCAACCTAATTGTTCGTTATGACTTGTCTCCATTTTCAGTCCGCTCGATGTTTGTTACCACATCTCTGATATTCACATTTGACAAAATGTCCCTTTTCAATTTAACTAAAAGAATTTGAAATGCGTAAGAAATCCATATAGTATAGTAATTTACATTTGGCGAATGCTAAAAATTTAAAAAATCTGCTAATGAAGATTCGCTTGCATGAGTAAAGAGTATCATCATGTCACTGAGCTCACATGTTATGCTTTGCAGAATCATGCAATGTTGAAGTTCCGTTTGAGCTGCAATTTCTAACGCAATTGAGTCATCGAATCTGCAAATATGAAGTTCTGCTGTTTTCTGCTTTTATCCCTTGTGTTGTATGTCAGTGCGGTGGAACGGATCCTGTTCAGTGTAAAAGAGGAAGAGGAAGTAGGGAGTCTCGTTGGAATTCTTCTCCCCAAACTCTCCAGCCGTCTTCGGAGCTACAAGGTTCGAATGAACTTTCAGATTATTCAAAAAGGCGATGCCCGATACTTTCGAATTACCCCCCAAGATGGACGTATTACCCTAGCTCAAGTGATTGATCGCGAAGCTATCTGTCAAAGTGCCAATATGCGAGATGATGCTCATTTCCTCTCAAGTGCTGAAGGTCAGTGCCAACTCAGGTTTACAGTCAGTGTTCTAAGAGAGGGCACTTCAGAAATTATTGAAATGGTTCAGGTTACTGTGAACGTGCTTGATATCAATGACAACCAGTGTAAATTTGAACCTTCTGATAAACAGACTGTATATATTCCTGAAGATACTCCGGTTGATTCTAATTATCGAATTCCCTTGTATATTCCTACTGATCCCGATGCAGCAGTAATGAATAGGATTGATCTAAGGAGTATTTCCCTCAAATCTGCGGATGATATTGATAGCGCACGGTATTTTGATCTTCAGGTGACTGGAACTAGTTCTAATGACAAACCCACGACTTTACACTTGGTCCTAACAAGGAAATTGGATTATGAAAGTCTCTCTGTTCACAAACTCATAGTTACTGCTAGCGATGCTAGTCGGCGGAGCTCATCAACATGCAGTCTACATTTAACTATCCAAGTCGTGGATGTCAACGATCATCCTCCAAGATTCGCAAAGAAGATTGTTCATTTGAGCCTGAATGAGAATACTCCAGTTGGATCTTTGGTACATCAGCTGCAAGCCAGTGACCAGGATAAGGGTCCATTCTTCAGCAAACTCATCTTCTCATTCGGAACTTATACTCCCGAAGATATCCGTTCCTATTTCGATGTCCACCCCTATAATGGTTCAATAATTCTCAAGCAGCGCTTATCCTATGGAAGAAAAAGGAAGTTTGAAATACCTGTGATTGTTCGAAATCCAACAGATGCTGAAATCAAGCGAAATAATAATGAGAAACCTCAATTGAAAATATCAAATGATATTCAAGTGGAAACAACAGTACATGACACCGCTCAAGTCATAATTGATGTAATTGATATTAATGATGAAGCCCCAGCAATCTCTTTTTACGCTCCCAGTGGCGAAAGCGAATTATCGATTGAGGAGAATGTTGCCCTCTTGCCCTCTGATTTCGGAGTTGTCAGTGTAACAGATGGAGATTCGGGAGAAAACGGTAAAGTTGAGTGTACGATAGCTGATAACGTCACCGAGTTATTCCGTCTTGTAAGAATGACATCTGGTGATGGAATGACAGATGAAGGTCGTGAAACCCTTTTTAAACTCTCCGCAATACATAATTTCGACCGAGAGCAAAGGACATCAATTGGACTAACTATCCTCTGTCGGGATTTTGGATCACCTCCGAAAAGTTCCTCTCAAAACCTAATAGTGAAAATCCGAGATGTAAATGATAATTCACCAGTGTTTGATCGGAATTATTTAGAGATCAACGTAACCGAAGATAGTGACCCGTCTCGACTCAATACTGACTACGTGATTGGCCGTGTTCTTGCCCATGATCCAGATGATGGGATAAATTCTGAGATTACCTATGATCTGATCCAATCAAATGTTCAGAATCTATTTAGTATTGATCCGAAAACGGGTGTCTTCAGTTCGAATGGAGAATTGGATAGGGAAATGAACGATCGGCATCAATTTGTCATAGTTGCTAGAGACTCAGGAGTTCCACAACTATCTTCGTCCATTACAGTAACTGTTCATGTTGAAGATTTCAACGATGAGCCACCGGTATTTGCACAATCAGACTTTGAATTTATGGCAGTGGAAGGTGTAAACAGAAATTCATTAATTGGAACGGTTCAAGTTTCTGATTCAGATTTGGGTGTGAATAGGGAGCTGAGTTTCCGATTACTGGCTAATGATCTATCAGCTCATTACCCTATCTCACCAAGTGATAGCCTGCAGCATTACAACTGGAGAAATGAGCAAGAACCCCCATTTCCATATCGACTTGAGTCTCAATACAACCCTCTAAAGAATGAATATGAAGTCAGTATATTTACAGATGGCGAATTGGACGCGGAAGCCGCTTCTCAGCACATGGAATACTCTGACAATGGCTCTCGAACAGCCTCCTTTCATTCATTCTTCATCTTGGCAGAAGATGGTGGAACTCCGAGGCGGATTTCAAGAGCTAGAATCATCGTTCATCTTCTGGATGTAAATGATAATGCACCCGTCTTCAGTTTTCCCTCCGAGAACAATGCAACTGTTAATGTATCATACAAGGAGTACGTGGGTTTTCCCTTTATTCAAGTACGTTCCATGACTTGTATAACACATACAATGCCTGCTTATATTTATCATCAAATTTTTATTGCTTGACTGTTAATGTATAAGAAACTACATGACTATAATGTTAAAATTCATCATCGGTTGGTGCTTATCTTAAGCTCCGATTCGTTAAATCCTGATAAAATGTGCGCTTTTAGCCTACTCTGTGTGCGCAATTAACTACTAATAGAACATTTAGTTATGGTGATTTTATTTGGTTAGACCTATTTTTCTGCGGTTAATAAGGCGTCTTCCATGCACATGCTTTCGTATATCGCCAACTACTATGTCCGCAGGGATGTAGGGATAAAACATTTATAATTAACCGGAGCTCCATAACCTTGGAAAAGTCGTTTTCCAAGAGGAGGAGTATCGTGATTATTTTAAATTTGGTCTGTTCCCCTTTTTCCTCTTCCCCTGTAATTAGGAGAAGGAAACAAATTCATGCTACTTAGGTGTAAAGAAATTGCCAGTTTTACCGATTCCCACTTGGAAAAAAACTTTATTTAAAATTGCATATAGAGCTGCTCACAGAGCTGGATTTTATATTCTCGGAGAGTTTTTTAGAAAGATTAAACCTGACCTGACTTATTTTCTTAAAACAAATCATTCCTGACCTTGAACTTTCGAGGTGCTTAAAGGTTAGTTAAATGTCAAATTTGGCTCAAATGTCTCATAGTTACCAACCTGTTAGCAGAAGATGGAGGTCAATCTAAATGCCACATTTTTCACTCTCTACCCAAAATGAGCAATGAACTGAACAGGCTTAGTCTTTCATTCTACGATATTTGAAGTTAAATCTGTCCTACACGCTAAAGATCTTTTTTAACCATTTCATTTCAAGTACGATGATATTTCACTATTGTTAATAATGCTAAATATAGGGGGTGGTTTAATTTGCATTATGGATTTGTGGGAAATTTTTCACCTTGTTCAATCAACCGTTAATTGTGTAGTAAATAGGAAAGTCGGCATTTGAGGGAAGCGAAGTGCTCGCGAACTTTTGAGCTGGTGTGCACTAGCGGTTTCTTTATATCCGGATCTTACACTCTGACTTTTCCACTCCATTTTCTCAATTCTCTCCATAAAATGGTAGATAGGGTGCTTATTTCTACCGGACATCAAGGTCCACTTGCGAGGATGCGGGTGGTCATCGGAGTTATAAATTATCTCCAAAGTGGTCAATTTTGGGGGGGGGTTGCTATTTTTGGGGGCAATTGTAATTTCTTATTATCCTAGTCATTTCCTTCTTTTCAAAAGTGAAAAAGATTCATTCATAAAGTATATAAGATGCTGAATGCAATGTACAATCTGCAAATACTGAGGTTATTCGAAGCAAGAAGTTGGCTATGAACTCACAAGTTATCTTCAATTTATTGATTGGATGCGGGTTTAACAAGGTTCTGTTCAAATTTCAGTGCTTTCGAACACTAACAATGAAGTTGACTCGAGTGGCGTTAGATTCAAGTTTACATTTCACAACATCTTTATGGCTAATTTCAGAGGATAATATCCTAAAGGTCATCTAGTGTCCTATTGCAACCCAACCAACGAGTAATCAATGTGTTAAGAAATCAATTCTACCCAAAGGGTGGAGTCGCAAAGTGAACATTTAAAATGGTCAAACCGTGGATTGGCATGTACAGCATAGAATATAACAATAAATTTGTTTTAGGCAGAAAAGTGGCCCACTATAAGGCAAACTTTTTAAAGTATCCTGGTGTGCCCTCCATAATCGTTAGTCTTGAAAGGTAACAACGTAGAACGTTAGCGATTTCCCGCTAAATAAACTGCTAATCAGAATATTTGAATTTATTTTAATCTACTAATACCTTTTACCCTCATTTCTCCCTTTTTGTTTATAACTTAATGTACCGGTTCGAATTACTGCGATGCAAATTTTACCATCGTTGTTGCCATAAGTTCTCGTAGTTATCGTCAAATGGAAACTCTACGCACAACAGATATTGCACATGCTCTATTTGTTGCCTTAACTACTCATCTCTTCTTCAATATTTGATACCTTTGTGAATAGATTTTGGAACAATTTCAACTCCAACTAGTTGCATGAATCTCTCCCATGAGGGCGCAATTAATCCCCTCTTTAGAGTTGCTGTACTTTGCTGCTCGTGCACTTATTTCGAATTGAGTAGCCCTTTGGAGATTTTATTTTTCATTAAGTAATCAAGAGATTTCGCATTGGAGTTGGAAATATATACCCCGCTGTTATATTGCCCGCCCTATTAGTTTTAGAACTGTCATAACTAAATGGGCAGAGTTTAAATGTGAGCACAATAAATGTATGAAATTGGGGCAAGGAATAACTTTCCTTTCGTGTGTCGAAGACCAACAGGAAATACTAAACGTGTCAGTACCTTCAAAGAGCTTGTTGTTTTTATAGCTGGGACATTTCCTCTATTGAATGCAGCCATCATCAATATCGTCGCAAACAGTAGCGACCATAGTAAGGGACACGCTGGTTTTATATGCTCTTATAAAGTTAGATGCCAATCATAATGACATTTGCTACGCCATTAAAAAAACATTAACCAAAACGCTACTTTTGTACTAACTCAACTGACAGTTAGGCAACATCTAAAATATCATCTACCAGCTAGACAGCCAGTAGAATCTAAAATTTAAATAATTTATGCCTTAAGTCACTTGAATATCTGCATCAGTAGTTTGCAAATTAGCCTATTTTCAACGATGTCCAAAAAGAGACCTGTCAATTTATAGCAACAAAATGGAGTGGGGTGGGGGGGGGGGTTGAGGTTCTCAGTTTTGTTTGTTTGCGAATGTTACCTATTTGCCAATAGGTGTGTTTTTACTCTGATGGCAGAGAAATTGTTTAATTGTAATACGCGATTATAATAGTGTATCAAATGTATTCACCTTCACAATTGGAGATTTTCTAATGAGGATTCTATTGTGAATTGTTTTGGTATATTAATGCATCAGGTAGAACACAATGCTTTTATGATGGTACTAGGTTGGGTGGGTGGGGGTGGGGGAGGTTGGGGGAGGGCTGGCTTGTTTTCCATTTTAGTATTTCCGGATATGTATATAGGGTTGGCGCTGTACTCAACCCGGGAGAGACAGGAGGAAGAGAGGGTGGGAGACGAGATTTCGTCGGGGACATGCACATTGAAAATTCGTACGAGGTAAAGAGAAACAACTACAGGTTTAATTTGCTACTGAATTTAATTTAAGTTTGCGATTCGATCATTTTCGATCCTCTTAAAGCATTTGTTTCTGCCCAACACACGCTTGTAAATATATAATTGATATCTTCCCATTTTTAGCAATTTATCAACAAAAAAGACGATATTATTATCAACCCAGCAATTTGTTAATTCGCCAGTCCTTGGTGGGGAATAGTATATATTAAAATTTATATCTAATAGGGTACTTTTCCAAGGAGAGTGCTTAAAAAACTGTCTCCCAGTTACATTGAGACAGCACTTCTCCGAAAGCTTTCTATTTATCAATCGTTTCCATAGATGCATTGAGTTGACTGAGTCTCCTAATAAGAAAAGGAAATTTGATAGAGGGGATAATATTTACACGCAGAACGGGAAACTTCAAAGCTATACCTAACGTTGTATTCTGGTCTTCTTAGTAGACCAAAACCTTTAAACAATGCTGTTTTCTTTATGTAAGCCACATAAAATTTACAGAAAAAAAATGAATTCACTAAGTTTAGTTCGAGACGTTAAATTACGATATTGAATGTTATTATTTTTTTTTACCTAAAACGCATGAGTTGCATAGCCGCAATTTTTCAGCTTTCTGAGTATCTAATTTGCAAGTATGTCGCTTCAGAGTAGCTACTAAGGTGCAAAAGTTCTTATTAATTAGAGACTTTGTTTTTAAAATGGTGTGTTTATACAAAGAAAAGCTGTGTTTATGCGTAATTTGGGTAGAATACAGGAGGGGAAATTAGAGCACTATAGGTAACATCAAGTGGGTTTAAACGAATGGTGACGATTAACCTTCTTTTCCACAATCAATTGGCCCCTGGGAGCTAGCTCAAATATATGTATATAACTATAAAATTTTGAATGTATGTTATTATTTATGTTTGCGTATATAGGCGTATATTAAAATCAAAGGAGAACCCAGATACTATAAACTACTATCAATCTAAAATTTTAGCCAGCAGAAATTCACCTGCCTAGGGACTATAATATATAATTGCGCATCTCCCTATCGTTATTTTGCGCAGTTGAGTAGTTAATAAATAACTGAATGATTAAAGCATTTAATTATCTTGCCAACGCATAATTTTAATTCCAGCAAATGTCTACTCTGTGCAAGTAACTCGGGACACAAACAACATTGCGCATAGAGTTGGGTAATGGGTTTTTCTATTAGTCCCCAAACTGACTCTTTTAAATAATTAAGAGATAGATCTCTAGAAAACAAATGACAGGGGGGGGTCTAACCAGAAGACATTAATATTTAAGCATACAAGGTGCCTTATGCTTTTGAAGATTGCGTTGTGTTAAGGGATAAGCCGCTCTCGTTCCCTGAGTGGTTGATTACTGTTTATGAGTTGTTCCTTGTAGCACAGCGTAGAGTACAATAACTAATAGCAGAGCTTCCCGGGCATTCGAGATGTAGACACTCATTAACTATATTGTTTTACCATAAATTCGACGTATGTTCACTTTTGGCATATATTGTTCTCTCCCTATGTCTCTAGGTATCAGCAACAGATGCCGATGCGGGTATAAATGGAACTGTGCAATATTACCTTGGTACACCACAGGCTGGCCCAAACTCCAATGAAAATAACGATGCAACCGCTTTTCAAATCGACCATTCTAATGGACAAATATCTTTGAAAAGACAACTTTCTCTATCTGATGTTGGGCACGCCTATAAGGTCTACATTATCGCTAGTGATATGAGCCCACGGCCTCTACAAACTCAAGCTACGATGACGATTCTGGTAGATAAAACGTCTCCCAAAGGCGCGAATGCAGCCCAAGTTTCAGGATCCCCAAAATTATCGAAGACCGTCTCGGACTCAATGGTCAATCTCTTCATTATAATCTTTATCGTCGCCGCCGCGTTCATAATATCCGGTGTCCTACTCACTGCTGTTTGTATTGTACTCAATCGCTCTCGAAGGGCCCAAGGAAATTCGCATTCAATGCGTAAGTGATTGGTTAGTTCACTAACCTCTTCTCTCGCCCTTGGCAAATTCATCACTCCTTCGTACAATAATCATCTCCGATAGCTGGATGATAACATACAGATTTAGTTATTTAAGTACCATTTTGTACAGTTGTCATTCAATTTCAGCCTTTTAAACACCCCAATTATGAGGTAATTGTCAATAATGGATCTAATGAAAATTATTAAATAAAGATAGAAAAAATGTATTAGGCTTTCCCTGAATTGGTTTCATTTAGGCAGTAAAGAGTTGAGGGAAAGAAAACTCAGCTAACCAAACTCCCCAGCCATATATCAGTTAAATTACTCCTAATGCATCTGGGAAGGGAGCAAAACGGAAAACATTTTGAATAATAATAACGGGGAACTTTCCTGAGGAGGAAATCGTGACCATTTTGTGTGGGGTGTGGGGAGGGGGAGGGGGGGGGGGTAGGGGAAAAAGGGGGAGGACTTTTAAATGACGAGATTAATTGGGAAAGATTAGGGAAGCGGAAGTGTGGATTTTGATTGCTCTATGAAATCTCCTTTCATGATTGTGTCACATGTTGCCTTGTGTAAAAGTAGTCAAAATATCACCTGATGGCTTTAGAAAGATCATGTTACAGTTACCTGATAGCTACTGGCTAAAATTCTGCTTCAAGTAGTGACCAAGTCGTTTGGAGACCTAATTTAAATATTTTGTCTATAGATTTTTTCATTGTTAAGAAATGTGAATTATTTTTATATGTATATCTTGCTATGATATGGCCTTTCATTCTGTTAACGGCTAGATAATAGGCCTATGTTAAGCATTTTAAAGAAATTAAACTTGGCATTCTCGGTGGTTGTTAGTATTATAATCGTGTTGGAGAGGTTTGAGTTATGTCGATGTCATTGAAAGAGGAAGAGTGACATGGGGCAGTAGTGGTGGTGGTGGAGGGGGGAGAGATTGACCGGTTATTGTCTAACCTGGTAACTGAAGCCATGATTCAGGGGGATAGTTAAAGGTAAATTCACAAAACGAGTGTTCGATGATTGTGTCAATCATTATTTATTTCAAATGGCAGGCGTTTTGATAGTTATCA